ATTTTGGTGAAATAAACTCACAACCAATAGAAAATAAAAGATAAAAGGTTACAAAAATATTTGTCATTCTTTGACCTGTTACACGGGGTACAAGTTATAATATAATATAATATAATATAGGCCTACAGTATAATATATAGATATAAGTTATAATCATCTCATTCATCTATGTTGTAACTATTTTAAGTTTAACCATAACTATGTTTTGTCATTAAACCTTTTCAATTACAAATAATGTGCTAGTTTTGATTTGGTATTGACTTTTAAGTGCTACTTATTGCCTATATTGTTATTTCAGATCCTCCTTTGAGCAGCTGCAGTTTCAGTTCAGTCACTGTGACTCTGACTGACGGAGGTTTTTGTACGACTCTTTATCACTGTGTGAACACATAATTACTGTTGATCTCGTGTCGACTCATACAGTAATAATGTCCAGCATCTTCAGTCTGGACTCCACTGATGCTCAGAGTGAAATCTGTTCCTCCAGATCTTCCTTTCCCACTGAATCGACTGAAACTGTCATCATAGAGTTCATCTACAGCATAAATGATGAGTTTAGGAGCTTCTCCGTGTTTCTGCTGATACCATGCTAAACCCAAGCCATTTATCCCAGCATCAGTTTTACACTCTATAGTGGCTTCTTGTCCTTCAGAAACAGTCACAACTTCAGGCTGAGTCACAGTGATTCCTCTGGATGCTGTCGACAACAACATTATATGAGTTTCATCAAATGAAATGAACATTAAAGACTCAGAAATGACGAGCTTTGACTTCTGTTACCTGGAATAAAAGCTGTCAGAATCCAGATGAAGCCGCTGAAGAGATTCATGGTGTGTGTTGGGTTTGTACCGTGGTAAACAGCCGTGTGTTATAAAGTGTGTGAGTCTGAAGGCTATAAACACTCGGAGAGCTGAAACACGTGCCGATGCAAAGTGACTCTCTGAGCAAAAACCAGCTGGAGGAAAACACACATGAACATGAACATGCAGACGAAACTGATCCAGTTTATGCCTTTAATGTGTTTTATTCTCATGATCAATGAGTGTGTTTTCACTTCTTTACAAGTTTAGAAATCATTTCTTCTTTATTCTGCATGAGTCTCTGGTTCAGAGTTCAGACTTTCTGATGAATCGAGTGACAGAGTTTCATCACTAAAAGAAACGAGTATTTCACTGTGAACTCCATGAGAGGTCAAAGGTCATTCCAGAGGTCACAGGTCATCAAAACTTATTTAAATGCTTTGAGAAACACACGATCATTTAGAAACTCCTCAGATGTGTAAATATCACTACAGAGTCTTTCTGATTATATTATTTATTTAGATTTAATAGTTTTCATGCATTAAGAGACATTTAGAGACGATGAGGCTGTTTCTGTGAAAGTCACTTCAGTTCAATAATCATGATGTTGAGTCTCATATCAGTGTGTGTGTGTGTGTGTGTGTGTGTGTGTGTGTGTGTGTGTGTGTGTGTCGTTCGTCTCTTTCTCTGCTGGTGTGTGTGTTCATTTGAGTGTGACGGAGGTTTTTGTATGACGCTTTCACTAGAATGAAACACTGTGGAGGACTTTCGGTGGAGGAACTAAACTGACGATCAGAACCTGTGAGTCTTTCTTAAATTATTTAATAAAAATGTATGTGTGTGTTTTTAGAAGGAGATTTAAGGTTATTTAACAGCATTTGACAACAATATTCTTAATTTATTACAAAAAAATATAATTGAAAAGCTTAGCTTACATTTCAAATCTTATTTATTGTAATTTTTTTTCTATTTTACTGATATTGATTGATTGCATACATTTTATTATTTAATTTTGTCTGCTATATTATGAATATGTAATATTTGGTGATATTCTATGTTTTGTACATTGCAATCCATAGTTCACATTCATAAAGTTTTACACACATAATTTCACACATAATGTGTTCTAACATTTAAATGTATTTTAATTAATAGCAATATTTTAAATGAATCCTTAATATATTTAATTTGAACCAAAGTTTGGAAAATATAGACAAAATAAATGTCATCATTGTCATCATCAGTCAAAAAGAAATTTAGTAGTTAAACTAAGTATCCTGAATGGTGATTATTTTCAAAATACAAATAATATATTGAAATGATAATTTCCAAAATCTTATACAATATCACAATAAAATGATCAAATTGCACTTGGACAGAGTTCTTGAAAATCAGTTAAACTTTTTAATTAATGCAGAACGGAACAAATATCATATTTTTGAAAGTGTATCATGATTGCTTCAGAGAACTGATTTATATTTATACATCTTGAACTTGATACATTATAAAAAATCTGTAACTATGGTAAGAAAAAGGCTGCTTTGTTCGCCAGACCTGTTCTTTTCACTTCCAAAATTGTAAATTTAACACTATTTTACTGTAATATACCATGACATTTCCAGTTAAATCTATTACAACTTTAATGTATCAGTAAAGGAACAAACATTTATCAATTAAGAATTTTTACTGTAGCATTTTTTGTATTTCATTTTTAAAATAACAATATTTTTTTACAGTGTACATTCAGTAATAGTTAATATTGATTTAATGGAGAATTCTTTTTAACCTAACTCGTAAAAAAAACGTAAAAAAATCAAATATTTTTTATATTTTTTTCAAATATTTAGTATATTTTTTTATTTATTTAAATTTTATAATTCATATAAATGTTTTTAAATGTCCTTTTTCATTTTACACAAATAATTGAACATCTTGTTATTGCAAAAATGTTGTTAATTTCATGTATTGACTACTACTTTAAAATATTTTTGTCTATAATTCTTGGTAAATGTAACTATTAATGGCTTTTTAAAATGCATGAAACAAAAGTTGCTTCAATTTCATTGTGTTTTAAAATGTAATAGGTTGATTGCAATATCATTGTAATATTATATTGAATGTAGTTTGTAATATTGTTATATTTTTTGACATATTCAGGTTTTTTAAAAGTACATAATTGTGTCCATAATTCTTGGTAAATTTAACTGCTAATACTTTTAAAATCCATGACACAAAAGTTTGATTATACGGATAAAATAATTCAATTTTTAGGCGTCATCATCAGACAAATAGAAAGATTTGAAAAATTCATCATTTGAACTGAAATTTGCTGATCATTATGCTTGAGAGTCTTAAGAATTTTTCAAAATACAATTAATAATGAAATGATTATTCAGAAAATTTCAAATTACTGTAAGATTAGCTGTATATCATGTCTGCTTTACAGAACTGATTTATATTTAGAATTACATGATACATTTTTGAGTATTAGTGAATATTGATTTAACTGAGAATATTTTTAAACTGAATTCAGGATATTTGTGGTTTATGAATGAAAGCAGTTATGTGGAATTTCTGTAAAGATAAAATTATTGTGATTTCTACTACATGACCGAGTCTGACATCTAACTAACTGTGTGTGTGTGTGTGTGTGTGTTTCAGCCGGGCCCTCCGTGTCTCCCTCCGTGTCTCTGCTGGTCTCTGGAGACTCCTCCGCTCTGCTCTGCCTGCTCAGCTCTTACTCTCCACAGGGGGCGACGGTGAGCTGGACGCTGGACGGGTCAGAGGTCACCGAGGGGGTTCAGACCAGCGCAGAGAGTGAGCGGGGCGGTCTCTACAGTCGCAGCAGCGTCCTGAGCCTCAGCAAAGCACGCTGGGAAGGCAGAGAGCGCTTGGTCTGCAGAGGAACACATGCCGGAGCTGCTCAAGAGGCCTCGTTCCTCAAGAGCTCCGAGTGCTGATGTTTCTCCAGTGAAGACCAGCGGATCTGAGCGGCATGTGATTTACAGCTCAATACTGAAGCAGTCTGTCAATGTGCTGCCATTGCTGTTCATTCAATAAAGCTTCATCTGAACGCAAGCGCACATGTGTGTGTGACTGCATCATTGATCAGTGTGTCGTTCCTTCAAAGTCCTGCACTAAAGTTTCAGCTGCTTTTGATTGATTGTAATAGTTGAGAACAGCTGCATTCAGCAGTAAATGTCAAATGAAGCTCTTGGGGTTTGAACATGGTCACTGGAGACGAGCTGCTCTATTCTGAGACCGTCACAATCACTAAACCTGACAATGCAAATGAGATTTTCACCTCAAACTCACAGTTTCTCTCTTTTACTGGTTCAACGCTCTGAACTGGAACAGTTTCATCTGTGCTTATGGATTCATTAGTCAGTTTGTTAATAAGATTTCATCTTTATGAGTTACATGTTGGTTCATCACAACACACACTATATTCACACATGCGTATAAACAAACTTTAATCTTTAATATAAAAAACGAACTATAAATAAATTTCCACTGTACATGGATGTGTTAAATTGCACAAAAAATAGCACTGTTAAATTAAACCATAAATATAAAATGTTTTTGGTTTTATTTGATGATGATGGTGGTTGTGGACTGCACCTGTTTGGTAATCTGTAATCTTAAATACTTACTTTATAAATTAATTTTAAAATTCTATGTAAAGATATTAATTTAAATTATATAAATGTTCATCTGCTCTGAAATTGAGGGCTGTGTTTTAAGATGCTGTTAATCTATGAAGTATGAACTTAAAAAAAAATCGATAGACTTATTAAATTGATCAAGCAAAACATCTTTATGATGCTAGTGATTCAGTTTAGAAAGAAGAATGAGGATAAATCATAAATGCAGAAAAACAAAAATATGGTGAAAGATTGTAAAATATCCACTAGTGAAGATCAAATGTGACTGAATTTTCTCACAAAGGACTGAAAATAACAGGAGAAACATGACTTCTGAAAAATCATGATCAAAACTGTCATATAATGACGAAGCTCAAACTTTTATATTATTATAATTTATTATATTATTGCTTATTATAAGATCATATTGCTTTTCTTAGTGTGTGTGTGAGTGTGTGTGTGTGTGTGAAAGTGTTTGAGCAGCTGCAGTTTCAGTTCAGTCACTGTGACTCTGACTGACGGAGGTTTTTGTACGACTCTTTATCACTGTGTGAACACATTTTTACTGTTGATGTAGTGATAACTCTGACAGTAATAATGTCCAGCATCTTCAGTCTGGACTCCACTGATGCTCAGAGTGAAATCACTGTTAGATCCACTGCCACTGAATCTAGATGGAGTTCCTGACTGGAGGCGGTTTGCGTAATAAATCAGAAGTTTAGGAGCTTCTCCAGGTTTCTGTAAGTACCAGGCTAAACAATTTCCATTGTACACATTACTGCTGGTTTTACATTTGATATTCACAGTTCCTCCTGGTTGTTCTGCTGTTATTGAGGGACTCTGAGTGACGGTGATCTGTCCTCTACACTCTGAAACACACAACAAGAAAATACACTCAAAACTTTGACAATATACTTGAAGAATTTAATTAATATCAAACTTGTGCTCCACAAACCTTGAGCAAACGCTGTGAGAGTCCAGATGAAGATGATGATGAAGGTCATGTTGATGAAGATTGTTGTGTGTGTCAGTGATGAAGTGTTAAACTCACAGCACTATAAACACTCTCACACACTGAAGATCTGATCAATATGCAAACACACTCCACATCATTTCCCTGAAGACAGAAGAAACACTGTTTTGTCTTTTAGTGTCTTTGCTAATAAACTTCTATTTATTATTTTCAGAAACAGACACTCATGATTTACTTCATGTTATTTTGGGTCGATCTTCTCGCTCTAAACACTGTTTTAATGATCAGTTTCATTCAGATTTTGAGAGAATTTAATACCTGCTGCAGATTTATATCATCCACGATACTGTAGGATTGAAAATAATTCAAGATATTTTAAATGAACAAAGACATTTGCTTTACTGTTTTCCACCCCCTCTTTCCTCAAAGACCATTAGGATTTGAGGGGCTGATCGTGATCAAGGCCTGTAGGCCTGTGAGATGTGTGTACTTCGGGGGTCTATGAATTGTCACACCTTTAGTACGGTGGGGGAAGTTGTAATTATCTGATTGGTCAGTTTGAACGTCTCACATTTGGGTCACATGGTCAGGGAAAGGATAAAAGAAGATTGTAACTGTTGATCTGCCTCTTTTTATGCTCTGGCTCTCTTTTATTCTCTGGGTCGCTTTCTTGGGGTTCTCTCTCTCTCTCTCTCTCTCTCTCTCTCTCTCTCTCTCTCTCTCTCTCTCTCTCTCTCTCTCTCTCTCTCTCTCTCTCTCTCTATCTCTCTCTCTCTCTGGTAACATTTTACATATATGCTGTGTACAATTAATGATATAAGTTATAATCATCTCATACATCTGTTGTAACTATTTTAAGTGTAACCTTAACCATGTTTTGTCATTAAAGCTTTTCAATTACAAATAATGTGCTAACTAGTTTTGATTTGGTATTGATTTTGAACTGCTACCTATTGCAATAAAATATTGTCACTCTATATAGCAACGCTCTCCCACATATTAAGCTGTTGAAACTGCGCTTATTTCCGTCGTTGGTGAAAGTAGCAGTGGGTGGTAATAGACAAGAAATGACTGACGGCTGTTTACACGATAAATCAGGAGTTTAGGAGCTTCTCCAGGTTTCTGTAAGTACCAGAATAAATAATCATCCCCATCATCCCATCTCCTCACATCTTCCAGCAGTAACCTAGTTTTCCCAGGACGTCTCCCATCAAGACTCAATCCTGCTTAGCTTCAGTGGGTCAGTCTTGGGTTACAAGACCTTGAGTGATATGGCTGATGACTTCAACTACAAATGATTCTGTGAGGTTTTTTTTAAACTCCTGCTTGCAACGGAAGTTTGGTGCGCAAGCGAGAATCACCTTTAATGTTTAAAAATGTGCATCACATTATTTGGGAAGTGTAATTTTTAAACATAACATATTTTTAAAAGTGTTTAAGGTAAAAAAAAAAAAGGTTAAAGTGAAAAGGGTTATCATTGGGTCTCGCCCGCCCAGGATTATGGGGGTCCTATCCACCGTGGGCCTGAGCAGGTTCTGGTAATGGAACAAGAAGTGAAAACCCTGTTGGAAAAAGCGGCCATAGAACATGCAGCTCCTCCAGCAGGGACACCGGGTTTTACAGTCTGTGTTTCATCGTTCCATGAAGGATGGGGGGTCGCGTCCCATTTTGGATCTGAGAGTTCTGGACGAGTCAGTCATTCAGCTAAAGTTCAAAATGTTAACACTGAGACAAATCGTGCCACAGATCAGATCCGAGGACTGGTTTGTCACAGTAGATCTCAAGGACGCATACTTCCACATTTCCATCCTTACCAATATCGAGTTCTTCCGGTCGGCCTAGCACTATCACCTCACACTTTCACGATCAGTCGCATCAGTTGGCGGTTCGGCATCGAGATGTCGTTCTCGCCCACAGGAAAGAGTTGGGGTTACGGCTAAACGCCCGAAAGAGTGTGTTTTCTCCAATACAGAGGACCACTTTTCTAGGCGTGGTTTGGGACTCAGTGTCGATGCAGGGATACCTCTCACCGGCACACATAGAGTTCATCCTGTCGGCTGTGAAAAGAATAAAGCTAGGCCAGTCACTCACTGGGAAACAGTTTCAGAGACTGTGGGGTCTGATGGCAGCAGCGTCCAGCGTGATTCCCTTTGGCCTGTTGTACATGAGACCCTGCAGTGCTGGCTCAGGACCGAAGGGTTTCCCCGAGGGGCAACTCCATGATCAGGGTCACGCGGCGATGCTTACATGCCCTAGTGATGTGGAAGAAGCCTTGGTTCTTGTCTCAGGCTCCTGTGCTGGGAGCTCATTGTCGTCGCTTAACGCTTATCAATCACTGATAACTTTTTGCGAAACAAACCGGTTTCCTCCGAGGTGCGTTGGAGCAGGAGGAGTATGGCGGCTTTGTAGTCTTGTATTTGGGGAATCCCTAGGGAAGAAGACTTTACTTACCTTTTGTCATTTGAAAGATTTTCCTTCACCTGAATAACTGTTCTGTGTATTGTTGTTTGTCTTGTAGTAAAGTGACGGCTTTTTGTATCTCAACATCTGGTCTCCGTTCTAATTTTATATTTCTTCCCACACTCCGTGAAAACCTACATCTCCAGTAGATTAAGTATTGTGTTGGAGCAAGTGCTACACATTATAGCACAATATGAACATGTAACTCTGAATTTTATTTGTAATATATTTAATGAACCTACTATTCTGACAACCCACAACTTCTATTAGTAATGATGAATTTAAGAGTTTATAGATGACTTCCCACAACATACAATAAATCAATGTCAGTCTATCATCACCATTCATTCACACTGTTTTCCTAAAAGTGAGCAAGCAGACACAAACAGTGGCTTCAAGTAATGACAATTAATACAGTAAAATGCTGAGCGACCAAGAAAAAACAACAACAACAACATTGGAAAAGACACAAGAAAACAGATAAATATGTGAGTTGTACTGTAAATGGTATTGGTTTCAAGAGTTTTTACTCTGAAATGAGCCATTGTATTTATCTCAAGAAATCCCAAAAATCATATTTTTGAGGGACATGGAAAAGTCTTCCATAAGTCTCCATGTAATTTTTATATTCCAAAGTAGAAAGAAAATGAAATGCATGTTTGGGACATAAAGATCCCTATCCCTTTATCCCTCTTATACTGTTCTGTTCAACAGAGTTAAGTTTGTGGCAAAACCGTTTATGGTCCTTGAATTATTTTATTCTATGCTACGGTAATTTTATTCTTTTTGCCACAATAACGTACATTTGGGAATGTGGACGAAACTTGTGCTGTTGAACTGATTTGTAACAATTTAATAGCATACGCCAACAACACAGGAGACTGCATAAAAATATTTCTAAATATGCAGATTGATGGTTGAGGGTTTAAAATAAAACGGTAAAGCCTTGCTCTGAGTTTGCATGTTCTGATGCTCACATTCTTGTTCAAGAAATGAGTGGCTGTAGCATTTCTATCATAAAGATGTGGCCAAACATTACAGATTAAGAGCAATTAAACATTAGATAAACAATGGTTTGCTCTTGATGTAAAGTGTAACAACAATCGGCAGGAGACGGCGCTCTCTGCAGGCATTTCTGATTATCCATGATATACAGAAGTTTATTCATTATACATTTCTTAATGTATTTTAAAAGTGTTGTTCACTTAAACAATATGATTACTTACTTTGATACATTAATTGAACCAATTGGGCAATTGGGCTAAAGGCTATTGTTCACTTAGATCTATCTTTATGACCAAAAAATATGTATTTTGTGATTAAAAGCCTATTTTCCAGTCATTTATTTTGTCATTGTAGATATCTTGAAAATAATAGGCTATTAAAATACTTTCTTGTCGCCTTCACCTGAAAACTATATCGCATAAAGTTTGATATTGTGAGCTAGTATTCGCCCATTGTATGATCAAGTGTAAAATCCCATGAATATTTACCGAAGATATCAAAAGTGAAACTCAGAATGTCACATTCCAGAATATTATGTTGATAGATTATAATTAGTGAATTTATGTGTTCATCTTTAAAGTTGCTGTTAATAATTGTGAAAAAGAAATAAAATAGCAACTGATGGAGTATAATTTGCACATAGTCTTTAATCAGGAGATAGTGAGGAATTTTTAACGTGAGTCTTTTTTTTATTATTTTTATTATTATGCTTGTAAACGTTATAGAGATTACATTAATGACATACAACTTTGTATACAATACACAATATGTAGAAATTATGAAGAAATCTTAGGCTGATTTGGCTGTTGCTGGAATAATGCCCATTAAAACTCATTCAGTCATCTGTCTTTTTCTCCCAGTTTATTTAACATGTAGGAGTAGACATTTCTCATTGATGACAAGTGATGTTATTGTTGGTTTCTAATAAAACCATAAATAAAATAGGAACAATTAATGTAATACAAACACATTAGCATGTTTTAAATCATACATCTAAAATCATCTTAATTAAATAAAATACATAGTATCAAAGAAACTAAACAAACTAGAATTTAATCTAGGCCTATTCAAAATATCAAACATATCAAACAAGCAAAAGGAACTTATTGTCAAAACTCAACAGTTCCTCACAGGACATGTGTGTGTCAGAGAGAGGCTTCTTATATCCAAACACAGAGATCGGCCGCAGGAATAATCATTCAGATTTGGTCAGTCAATCAAGTCACACTGAAAGGTTGCAGACTTTCTACACAACATGTATCAAGAACACAAGGAAAGTAAAAGAAAAAAAAGTTAACAATGATTGATAAGAAAGATAGAAAAAAAAAACACAAGAATAAGATATTAATTTATTGTTGTGGCGACGTTAGTGTCGCGCGTCTGTGGAGCGACGTACTCCTTCTCTCACGTAAAAATACACGACTGTCTCCTTCGGTAGGAAATCCAAGGCACTTTCCACACGCCATACCAGGAGAAAGTATAAACAAGGCAGTACAAACAACACACACACACACACACACACACACACACACACACACACACACACACACACACACACACACACACACACACACACACACACACACACAGTGTAACCAGCATGAGGAAATCAGAGCAAAACTGGGAGTTGTGGAAATATGATACACCGGTGTTTTGC